GAAGGCTGCCCATTTCTTTTTTAAAGTCCCTCACATCCCCCTTGTTGAGTGGCACTGACACATATCCTACTCCAGGTTGATTACCCTGTCCCGGGATGGGGACTTCCTATAAGGGGAATAATTTTTTTTCCTGGTCTTCGTCCTGAGTTTTACTTCTAGTGATCCTTCTAGGTGGTGGAGAAGGGGAATTCTCAAGACTCTACACTCGGATCATGGTGCCCTGCTCCCACAGGGGGTGCCACGGGTGCGGCATCAGGGTACCGCTCCTGATTATGGGGAGCATACGGAGGTGGCCAATCTAAAGGGTCCTCCTCAGGTTCGGATTTCTTAGACCTTTTTCTTGGAGAATACACAGAGATACCATATTGAATGGATGTGATATCCAAAGGCGAGCATATTCGCTTTCTTCTGGGTTAACTGGCTCCTTACTATTAACCCATAAATTCAATTCCACACAGACCAAATTTTCAAAGCACCCAAAACCGGGCCAAATGATATGGGGGTTTCTCAATGGTTTCCCTCCCCATACTTTCATGTAATAATATACCATTTTTTTCCTTACTCTTTTCTTTCCTACAGGTGGAATCATTCCATAATTTAATCATTAATCCCAGAGGACTATCTGGAGGAATGTCAGGTAGCCTGTCCCCAGGACCACCCATGGGATCAGAAGGCTTGCTCTTCTTCTGTCCCATCTTCCAGAGAGCCTTGATTTGTTCACACACACGCTCCCCTCGGTCGTGACTCACGCCCTCGCAGGCTATGAGAACTGCACTACTGGAGGGTCCACACTCACTTGGTCTCCACGAGACCCCTTGTTCACTCACACTCTGGGATACCCAACCCCGACCGAACGGATCATCTATAAGTACTTACTCAGTCCAGAGTCTTCGTCCAGGTCTTCGTGCACAAAAATTATGGGGCTCTGCAGATTCTTCTGCTCATTCATCAATTTGGGAGGGGTTCGGAATTACAGGTCTTGATAGAGGGATTTCTCAGATCGGGGCCATCCGATGATGGGACGCATCCCTGTTTCTGGGCACCCTGTACCAAGTGAGCCTGGATCTGAGTCATGGCACCAAAATTGTTATAGAGGGCCTTAAGTAAATCAATAAGCCAGTCCAATTGACTCATAAGGTCGTTTATTTCTCAAGCGATGAATGAGCAGAACAGCACTGGGTGGCCAGGGAGTCTCCACTCCACCAACAGCTAGCAACTTTCCTTAAGCTCGGAGTGGATTTTATACAGTCTCTTTTCCGGTACACGTGTCACCCCCTGTTGTACTCTGCGCATGCGTTGTCTTGTTGCTAGGGGGTCTTTCTCTGCCTTCTGGTGGTCATGGGGATGAAGGCCGACGTCTTCCTCTTATGACCGGCTCCCAACCCCTCTTCTGGCTCATGTGCAGTCTGCCTTGTTCTATGTGAGCTTAGCATGAATGTCCTCCCCATGGTGTAATTTTCACCCTTTGTCTGGAATGTGATGATCCTGCAAGCTTGCAGTGCTCTTAGCAGTCTGAGTTAATTGCTAACCATTTGTTTTCCCTAAGCAAGGAGATTTACGGACATATTTGTAACGGGTGCCATCCTGTTATCTAATTCGTGTTCCCTACAATCAATCCCTTGAGAGAGCCCCTCACGTTCGGGAAAGAAAAACTGGTTTCCTCTTCTATTAATTATTCTCCCTAAGCTATGTGGTTACGTGACTATATTCTTTGACTACCCATGAGATATATATAAGACATATAGTTATAATTAGTTCTATATGGTCCCCTACATCAATGAATGCCTTAAAAGGTTATGTCTGTTTACATTACAGGATGTTCGTGGTTGGAAATGATGCCTACTGCCATGGTTGTTCAACCATGGTTTCACAATCTCTAAGATTTGATTAATAAAAAATGCCTGCTTTTTACAGTGACAGTGATGTTTCATGGTGAAACCTGCTTTCCCACTGCAGAGCTTCCAGACTCGGTGTCTGTGCTTGCTGGGGAAGGCAGCACTGGAAGAGCTGAATGCCCACACGCACAGAAACCACCATCCCCGTCACTGACTGCCTGCAGTTTTCAAAAACAACTGTGTAACCTTGTTTTGTGCGGACAGCCTTCACTCAGATTACGTTTTAAAACAACTGCTGGTCCTTTCCATGCTATAAAATCCAATTTGACAGAGGATTCAATTACCACTAATCATGCTTCACAATTAAAAGCCTGAAGAGAAGAGCATCTTACCCCCATGTCCAAGGCATATAATTCTGTTTCATTAGCACTATAGTATTTTATTCTGTGTCAGGTGCCTACATGTTTGTTATGGATGTTACCAATAATCATCACTATCATTTTTTAAAAAGTAAATAAATCAAAAGCCATGTGTTTAAAAGAAAGTAAAATTGCATAGTTCGTTGATGGAAAAGAAGCCTAACTCTTCCTTTTAGGGTGTATATATAGTTCTGAAATGTGCAAACATTAGGAGTTACCTCCTGCTTCTCCTTTGGGAAAGCAAATGCAAATTATTTAAGTAGTGGAATATGAATATACACTGTGGTTTCTAAAGTTGCAGAAACCAGGTAAATAGGAAGTGTAGCAATTCAACAGTTATTTTCGTGAGTTTTCACCTCTCATTTCATATGGAAAGAAATACACCAGTGTAATTCCCAAATGGTTTGGTTTGTTGTTTTTTTTTTTTCCTGAACAGCTAGCCAGGCAAATTAGTTAATAAACAAATAAAACCCCTACACTTCTACCTATGCATTGTTAGGGATGAAATACCTCTGCACAGATGCCAAAAATCTACAGTCATTATTTATGCAACTATAAAGACTCTTCTGAAAACACACATATCCAGAAGTAGTTTAAGACTAAGCAGTCTGGAATGGCCCAAGAGGGCTTTTTAAAAACCTTCTCTCCCCTACGTTAATTCGCAGGTTTCAAGTTGCACTAAGGAATCCCATCTTTCCAGCCTAACCACCTCCACAAACTCTTGCATCCTGCCAGTCACAACTCTCTTCAAAGTCTTGTTATTAATTAGTTCTTGAGCTTCGGGTCACATTTTGCTCACCTCATTAGTGCCTGCAAAACCCCTTTGCCTCTGAATAACCGATATTTGTATTAAACAAATACAAACATAAACACAGATGCAACAATTTTGATCTATCTATCAACAATACAGCCCAGCTCAAGTGCCTCTTAAGGACAAGGCTTCCTGGCTACAGCCTTTCTGGAACATAACTTGCTAAAAATTCCTCTGAACTTCGTATCTCAGACCACACATCTTGCATAGGTATCAAGAAGATGAAATTGGAAAACCTGGTCCTAATAGATGTGTGTAAGCAATCGGATTAACCAAGGCGTGCTGCTGAATCTCACACCCTTCAGCATCAAAAGCAGCAGTGCAGCCCAGTGTTAATTGCCTTTGCTGAAGGGTATTGTTCCTGTCGCAGGCTGTTCTTTCACTGTGCCTGTTGCATCGAATAATTCATTGATGCTTTAGAAAAAGTTTATTTTCCTGTAGACTTCTTAGGCTGTATCATCTACACAAAATGAATCAGGATGAGTTTTAGGAGTTTTGTGGCACTTAATTGAGACTGTTGGAAAACATAATGCAGAGCCCACAGGTTTAACCCCACCTGCAAGCATTACTCTCTTGTTTTGACTGTTGCTTCTGTCCCTGTTGCTATAGGAACGGATTACACTGCCAAAAATGGAAGGATGATAATCACCTGAAAAAAAATATGCAAGCTGGGAATGCAGCTAAAGATTATTTTAAAAGCACTCTCGAAGCATTTTGGTATTATATCTGTTATAATATAATATCCCTTATAATATGTCTCTCTTACAAAGCCAGAAGCTATCAATCAACAGGAGTGAAAACAATGCCTTACATTTCAGGAAGCTTCAAATAGATTTTCCCTCAGTTAGCCTTCTCAGTTTTGTAGTATCTATGTGGGGAAAACAAACTACATCACAATGAACAGTTTCTGATCACTGGAAGCAGTGAAATCTCATTTGCTAGACTAAAGTTTCGTGGCCTAGTGCCCTTTGAATTGAATTGCATTCAGCATTTCTGTTATTTTTGCCTATATACTTTCTGCGGAGTATTTCAGGCTTTGTGTTTAATTTGCAAGAGGACAGGAGCATAGTGGGCAAGATCCAGTGGATGCCCAAACCACAGCCCATCCTGTTATTTATTTTCACACTGTTTGGCACAGGCCAGGAGCCAGATGTGTTATCTCCACAGACCGCTGGCCTACAGAACACCATCACTCTCCTTTCTTTTGGAAAATGGACCAAAACCCAAAGGGAAGACACCCCGTTACTCTCTGTGTCTCCCTCCTCCTGCCTTGTCAAAGGCCATGGGACCTCAAGGCCCGGCTACGGAGCGGTGTGGTGCTTGATGCCACCGCAGGCCGGGCTGGGCTGCTCTGGGACTGTGAGCGGGACAACGGCCACTGGCTGTGGGGCTTGATTCCTGTGCAGGTCACAGAGACAAGACCACAGACAATCGGTAAGACTGGAAGTCAAGCTCAAGCTTTATTTGCAAGCAAGCCTTTATATATACTGTTTTCCTATCTTGCGTTACTCTTGTGCATGCTTATTTCTAAAAATACTTCCCTGCGGTACTTTCCACAAACATTGCTGCCCGCACGTAGCCAGTAGCTAAATTCCTGCTTTTGCAATTCCAAAAAGTCCCTTCTTCATCAGTTTCTTCCCTTGCAAGCACATTCTTTTCTTCTAGCCTTCTTGTAACTCTTTCTTGCTTTTAGACATCATTAATCTTCCGACCCGAGTGCTGGTTGCACACTGTCGGTGTGTGGGGAAAGTGCAGCAAGCCAGCACAGCACCCGCCACCGCCCGCCGCAAACCGCCACCGGGCACGGCCACCGGGAGCCGCCCCTGGCCGGCCGCGCTTCACGCCCAGGGCCCGCTGCGGCGCTCCAGAGTTA